CTGTTGTGGGTCTTCATCCTGGTCTCCCTCCAGTGCTGTCTGCTGGGTCTGTCTGTGGTGGGTCTTCCTCCCGGTGTCTCTCCGATGCTGTCTGCCGGGTCCCTCTGTCGTGGGTCTTCATCCCGGTCTCTCTCCGACGCCGGCTGCCGGGTCCGTCTGTCGTGGGTCTTCATCCCGGTGTCCGTCTGCTGCTGCAAAAGCACAAAGTGAGCATCCAGTCCAGACTGGGGCGTATGGTTTCCCAAAGTCGCTTACCCCCAGTGTGTGGGGGCACCTGACGCCCTCCCTGCACACCCTGTTCCCCCCGGAGGTTGTCTTGCCGCCGTGGCGCATCGCCCTGGAAGGAGGAGGAGGGTGTGGAGAGCAGTTCCAGTCCCACTAGAATGCTCTTGCACTGGTTATGCTTCCCACCACGGCTGTTGAGTACAGCGCTCGGAAAGCCGTGACCCAAAATTGGTCTGATTTTCACTGCATTTTGTGAGTTAGAGGACAAGATGCCCAAAGAGCCGTGTCCTCCTTTTCTACCACCCGTCCCATCCTCAGGCCAGTGTTTCCTAGTGACGAGCGTTGGTGCACTCAGCTTTACCCTCAGATGACTCCACGCATGTTTATGCTGTGCGGATGTAGGCGCATTGGAGTCCTCCGGGCTGTGTCACCCCCGGGACCCTCCTGTCCGTGACCGCCCACACACCTGCGCGTTCTGTGCATGCACGAACATCAAACCTCCAGTCTAGACTTGTGTCCTTGACGCGGCTCGGGTGGGTTGTGTTGTGTACCTATATACATAAAATTACCCTTTTGTGCTCTTACTGGACTATCAAATCCAGTAGGTTCTAAAGATGAAGACTTCCCATGCTAGAAAGAACAAAATTTGAAAATAAAATTGATATTCTATAACTCAGGCCCTTTGTTGGAAGTGACCAAAGCTTCACGGAACCTGGGTCATCCTTGGGGGTCCGAGCACGCTCCCACTTGTGGACTCTAGGATTGTGCAGACTGGGCAGGGTCGATGTCTTCCGTTCAGAATTCAGTTCTGAAAACCGTCACACTCACGCTGTTTGGCACTAACCACATCCCACGTCACATCGTCTAACAAGTGACAGTGAACTTGTCCGTGACGAGCACGCATGTTTTGTAGAGCAAACTTCTGGGTTATGACGGCGTAGAATTTACAGCAAGCGCATTGGAAGGAGCTTTGTGAATTGTAGGTCGCAAGCAGTCCCGTCACCCCGTGATGGAGGTTTTGCTGCGCTGTCCGGAATATTCAAGGGAAAATATTTTGATGGAAAAGTTCTGAGAGTTCATGTTAAATCAGCCTTTCTGTGTCCCCACTGAGTGAGCACATTGCCTGCCAGGAGGGACCAGCCACATAAAATGGCCGAATTAGGATTTTTTAAAAATCAGTGTAACTTTAAAAAAAAAATACACATTGACCACACTAAAAGCTTCAGCAAATTAAACCAGACTCAAGATTATTTGTGAATTAGGAAGCGAAACTGAGGATTGGGGTTTGGTGTCTTCCTGCATCCTGGTGACATCTGGGTGAGCCAGCAGTGAGCCGGTCGGCGGCCGAACCCGGGCGAGCCAGCAGCTGGGCCCTGCCCGTGTGCTGTGGTTTATGTTCAGGGCTGGAGGTGCAGAGAGAGTCCCAGCTGGTGCATTTCCTCCCACACTGAGGCCCGTTGCTGCTTCTGTTCCTTCTGTGGGTGTGTTTATTACGAGCACGTGGGTAAGCCTTCCAGCATGTGATGTGTCACTCAGTATTAACGGCTGTGGGTTGGTCTCATTTGCTTCTGAAAGTGGCCGCACACCAGTACCTGTATGTTTTATAGGTATTTTATACCTGTACGCAAAATTAACACAGATTGCCCACCCATCTCCAAAACCAAGTCATTCAAACAGGCAGATGTCCAGAATTCCTGGGGACAAAAACACTATTAGCTTTTATTTATTTATTTATTTTTTTAAAAGATTTTATTTATTTATTTGACAGAGAGAGATACAGTGAGAGAGGGAACACAAGCAGCGGGAGTGGGAGAGGGAGAAGCAGGCTTCCCGGGGAGCAGGGAGCCCGATGCGGGGCTCGATCCCAGGACCCTGGGACCATGACCTGAGCCGAAGGCAGACGCTTAACGACTGAGCCACCCAGGCGCCCCCACTATTAGCTTTTAAAAGAACATATAAGTCTATATTGAGAAATAAAACCAAATCTTTTAATTTTTTGTAAATTTTGTTTTGGTTTTGTTTTGGGGTCTTTTTGGGGAGAGGGTCTTGGGTTTTGTGTGTTGTGTGTGTGTGTGTTTATCGTTGCGAGAGAATTCATAAAAACGGTCACGTTAACCTACCTTTGGCCTGGTATTAGACCATTTGCGTCCGTGTTTTTCTGCAAGATGGACTTCAGGTGGAATTCAGCCATATGGGAGGTGACCTCCATTTCTACAGGGGAAGCAGCGCGTTGTTTTAAATGCCACCTTCGCCTCTCACGGGCAGTCTGCCTGTCCGCCCTGGGGCCAGCAGAGGGACGCCCGGAGTCCCCGGGACTCTCCTCGGACGCGTGGCCGTAGCATGGCAGCAGCGAGTCCCGCGGCGCCCAGAAGCACCCTCCCGGCCCGATGATGCCTCTGGGTCCCGGGGCTGTAAAACCAAACCAGACAAGCAGCCAAAGCCGTGAAGGCCCGTCTGACCCCGCTGTTCCCCGCGAACCTTTCCCGCGGGAGGTGACCTGTGCCCGAGCTGTGCTGTGGGGCGCGTGCGGGACGTCTGTCCTGGGCGCGCTACGGCCCCCCTCTCCTGGCAGGCGTGGGGGCTCCTCCTGCTGGGGTGCCCAGGACAGAAGCCCGGCCCCTGGTGTCTCTCTTCCCTGCAGCGGAAGTGAGCACAGTGTGTGGTTGGAGAGCCCGGGAGGGCATGCTCAGCACAGCAAGCGCTCTGGCTGGAGGCCGGTGGCGTTTCCAGGCAGGGCACTGACCGCCTGTCCCCAGCGCTGCGCGGCTGCCGAGACCACTCCACTTCCCTCTGTCCGTCCAGGGCACCAGCGCCTGTCTGTGACCAGCCTGCTCGTCTGCCACGGCTTGCTGATGGTCGGCACCAGCCTGGGCATCGTGGTGGCCTTGCCCGTCCCGCGTCTGCAGGGCATCCCCAAGGTGACTGGTGAGTAGACGCCCCTGCAGGCCTGCGCCTCCCGGGCCCCTGTCCCGCCCTGTGCTCTCACCAAGCCCTCCATCTCTGTCATGCTCTCGCATCCCGGGAGCTGCTTACACACTGTGCATTATCACTCTTTCTTCTTTTAGCGTACTTTATAGACTGTTAATGTGAATCACCAGTTCCTACTCCTGTTTTTCTGCTGCTTATGTTAGTGGCCCAGGGAGAATCTTACCCCAAAAACATGTTTTCGTGTTCCCTTTGTTGCCACTTACTACTCTGTCACTTAGATACATGATTTTGCTCAATGGCAGTGGATTCTTTTTACATTTTGTATTACAAAGAAGGAAGCTCAGCATCTGAACAGGATTTTTGCAATGTTGGTAGGGTTCAAATGGGTAGAGTCTTTTCAGGAAGCGATTTGGCATTTTGGATCACGAGCCTAAAAATGCTCGTGTGTCTGGAGTCAGGATTTTTCAGTTCTGAAATCTGCCTTGGGAAGCAGCCGAGTCTATGAACAAAAGCAAGATGCAAAAAAGATACTTGACACAGCATTCAGTTTTTCATAGCACAAAGTAGGACACAACTTAAAAATTAGGGGTGAAGAGAGATTTAAGAAAATGGTCGTACTGCCGTTTTAGAATGTAGCAAAGCTGGTAAAAACAATGTTTGTGGAGAGCTTTGAATGATACGGGAAAGCGTTAATTCTATAAGTAAAACCAGCATGTGATGTGTCTTAAATTTTATATTGATTACATAATATCAGCCATGTGGGAAAAAAATCTCAGAGAAAAAGATTTGTAGGAAATTCACCAGAATGTTAATAAAGATTCTGTTCCTACATCCTCTTCCTAATGACAACACCAGAATATTTCATGTGACTTCAGACGCCCTTCCTTCCTCAGCAAGCTGTGACAGACTATGGTAAATAGGTCTGTGGTTTACATAAGTTCAAGAGCCACCTGTTAAGGTTAAGGATTCCAGTTTTGTTCATGTCTCCATTTCTGTTTTTATTATTATCCATATACGGCACACACAGCATCGCATGTGACGAACACGTCCAGTTTCCATGGTGCCGGTGAAGGGGTCACCCTCCAGCTTCCACCGGCCCGGGCGGACCGCGCCCCTCCTACCTTCGGTGCCCCCCCCCAACCATCCCCAACCATACAGAACCGTTCTCCTGAGTTGCATATCCTCATTCCATTGGTTTTTCCATATAATCTTGCCAGTTTGTGCCTCAAAAAACCAAATTTGTAATTTCGCTGTTTCTCCCATTTCCTCGATTTGCCTCCTAACGTAGGTATTTCTCCGTAACTCTTTTTGTTTCAACGTTACTGCCGAGAGGCGTCCTTGCTGGCGCGAGAGAGTGCGGCTCGCTCGTGCTCGCTGGTGTAGGGTAGCCTTTGGCGTCCGCGGGCCCCACGGAGGCTGACCGGTGTCCAGCGTCCCATGTTCTGTGTTGCTTGTGATGCCTCTGTGCGTGTTCGTCCGGCCCGCGTCCTTCTGGGGTGCACGCCGGGCGCGAATCACTGCGCGTACGAAACGCCTGTGCTCACCTGCCCGAGGTGACCCGGAGATGTTTCCCCCGGTTGTCACGTCGGGGGACGCCTCCCTCGCTGGTGTCTGAGCCTTCCTGCCCCTCCGCCCCGCCCCGTACCTGCGGGGTGTCCGCTCTGTTCACGGAGGAACGGCAGCTCGCCCTGGCTAAAGAACCCTGTAATTTTACCTGCTTTGGCCAAGGTGGGATGAAGGTAAGGGCTCTTGCCTGTGTTAGCCTTAAAGCACTTGGTGAAAAAGGGCACATGCTTGCCATGTCCGTCACCTCACCCGTGAAGCGCTTGCCAAGTGTGGACACCCTGTTCCCACCTGACAACATAGGGGCAGGGTGTTTGGGGACGGGGAATAATCCTTGTTTCAAAACAGACCTCTGGGTAGTTTCTGACATGTGCTCTTGGGTGAGGTGAGGATTTTAAAGTTAAATTCACATCACTCCTAAATTGAAAAGTCCCCCCTAAATAAATTAATTAGATAGATGGATAGAAAAGTCCCCAATTTAATTAAAACAATGGAAGGAACTCATTCTAAACTCTAGAACCTTCTTATAATGAGAGATGGCAGGAAGCTGCTGGTATTTTAAGCATCTTGTGCCTAGAACAGACACATGTCTGGCACTTAATTTTTCAATCAAGACTTAGGAAAATCACATCTACATCTCTGTAGCACGGGGAACAGGAGGACTGCTCTTTTACTGCTAAGAGTCCCATGCGGGTGTTAGGGGTTTAGACCACCACTCTGAAAGCTTTCTGGGAATTAAGTGGAAGTCCGCGAGAATGCGACCGGGCGCCATTCTGGCTTTAAGCTGTCCCTTGGTATCCGAGTTCTGCGTGGGTTCCTGTGGTTTGGACAAGGGAGAGATGCTTGCTGATTCCTCTGTGATCCTGTCTGTTGCATGCGGTGCGCGCGGAATGACCCCCACTCAGGAAGAGGCATGGTCTCCTACCACGCGCACAACGGGCCCGTCAAGTTCCTGGTCATGGCCACCGCTGCTGTCAGGACAGACAAGGACAAGCCCGCGGACAGCCCGCCCCCCGGCGCAGAGCCCCAGGACGAAGAACAGAAGGAGGCGCTGCCCGGCGAGGGGCCCGGCCTGAGCCCGAGCGGCGCAGACGCCGTCTGGCTGGGGGGCTCTCTGGGCTCCGTGACTCACCGAAGCGATTTCTCCTCGTCCTCTGGGTCCCTGACCCCCTCGCAGGGCTCGGGCTCCCTGGAGCCCAGATCGGAGGAGAGTATGGTCTACGACCTTCTGCGGCTCCCCAGCGTCCTGCCGAGCAGAGGGCGGCGGGCCAGGAGGGCGAAAGCCAGCTCGGTGCTGGTGGCGTGTGGGGGCCAGGGCCACCGGCGGGTGAGCAGGAAGGCCCGGCAGCAGCGCCCAGAGGAGCTGGCCTCCTCCGTCATGGTCTGGCAGATCCCCCTGCTGAACGCGTGAGCCGGGGCGTTGGCAGCCGAGGACGGCTCTCAGCCGCGTCGGGTGACTTGGGGGGCTGTAGCCTGTCTACACTGGTTGAGGATGAATTAGGTCTTTGGGGAAGGCACGTGCAATATCATCGTGGTGTCGTGGTGGTGGGTTCCTGCCGGCCGGTCCCCTCTGTCCACACAGAGGCAGGTGCAGCTGCCGTGAGGAGGCAGCACGCGGGGGCCGTCGGGAGCTGCGGGAGGGCACCCCGCTCCTGACCGCCGCGGCCCACGCACACGCCCGGGGTGCCCCAGACCGACTCCCGGGCCCTGCTACCCCGAGAATTTGCAGACTAAGAACGTCTGGGAAGATATAACCTGTTCAGTAGTATGGACACTTACTAACAGTTCTTAGAATAATAACTTTACTTGATTCAGAGTCACTGCTTTTATTTATAAGGTCTATCTCTAAATTCTGGAGTAGAGTTTGTAACAATGAAGAAAGCCAGTGAACACACACCAGTCCAGCAGCGCTGCTGGACTGGTTTGCTTTCTGAAGCGAACTGGGTTTTCCAAAGTGGTGCCCTGTGTGTATTGTATATTTTAACAAAGTGGTATTTTTATATTGCTTTTTTGTCTATTAAAAATTAACAGTTAACGTTTCAGTCAATACATGATCTGTAACATTTCACAAATAATGTTTGCTTTGAACCAAAATGCTCAAAACCTCATCAACATTTGGACTCGAGCACCAACGCCAAACTCTTCCTCCCTCCTCGCGTCCAAGAGTATTGATGCCCATGTCCGAAGAGTGTGTGTTTCCCTGTTGTAGGAAATGCGCAGAGAGGGCGCCGGCCGGCTCTTTCACGGTGCTAGTCGGTGTGGCCGTGGGACGCGGGCCGAGGCGGGCAGCCCTGCCCTCACGCGCCCTGTCACTTCGCCGCGTCTCCCACGGGCGCACAGGCTCTGCTCTGCGCTCACGAAGCCGGGGCGCGCGTCCGGGTGTGCGGCTGAGCAGCGAGTCCGTGGCGCTCCGTGTGGATTCATGCATCCGTGTCGTACTTACTGAGGGCTTTAAGACCATTTCTGCAGGCGTCACGGGAGGTAAATTTCTCAGCACTTTACAGATGACTAGAAATGCTAATTTCATGACCCAGCCAAATATTTTCTAAGGTGCATATATGCCCCCACTGTGAAAGTAATATCTTCCCAAGCTTCCTTAAATTGTTAGCTGCTATCTTCAATCATCAATAAAGTCTTTATTTAAAAATACCGTATTCGAATTGCCTTTTCTTCCCCCGTGAACCGTGGAGGGGCACTTACGTTCTGTTCTGGCAAGGCGAGGGGTGGCCCGGTGGGCCCTTTGGGATTCAGGCGCTCCACCTGCCTGTTTGGGAGTTCGGTACAAACTCCAGAGACTGTCACAACCTGAGTAGGAAAGTATGCTGTGATTCGAGGCAGGTGCCGAGAAATGTTCAAGGACTCACGTACTTGCCAGTTTGTATTTTGAGTGACATCATGAGTTGAATGAATTTCGTGTAAAATACAGAAATATCTGTGGTGGACCAGGCTCCGTAATATTTGCGCCGAGTGAAACCGTGGAGTTTCTCGGTCTTTTTACGGGCTAAATAAAACAAAACTACTCTGATGTGCATTTTATTGAAACCTTGGTACTCAAAGGCGTTTGGTCTTCATCAATATCTCAAAAAACTCAAAACCACCAAGTTTTCTTATGGCATAAGTAAGTAAAAAAAAAACAAAAACAAAACACAGCACCCGTTGAGGTTTACATTTACGTTAGAATTCCGACACATTTAGACAAACCTCGCGTGACGCCGTCTGTCTTACTCACGGGTCAGAAGTCTGGCCGGGCTCTGTGTTGGGCTCTGTGCAGTGAGGGCCTCCCTGTGGGGCCGTCACTGTCTCTGGTCACGCACCTCCCGACAGAGCACTGAGCCCCTCCTGGGCCGCAGACAGAGCAGTCTGCCTGGGACCCAGGGCCACGCTGGTGTGTCTGTCCCCCCGTTTGCAAGGAGACCGGGATTCACTGCCCTGCCTTGGGGCGAGCCGGGTTCCCTTGGGCCCCCCCTCCCAGCCCCGGGGCAACAGCTGGTGGGCCCACCTGCCTCCGTGTGGGCTTGGCTGCCCGGCAGCATCCTGGGACCAACAGTGTCTGGCCACGGGTGTGGGTGAGTTTGGGCCAGTGCTGTGCCCTGATGTGTCCCCCAAAATTCATGTGTTGAAATCCTAACCTCCACGGTGGTGGTAGGAGGTGGGAGATCGTGAGGTCGTGAGGGTGGAGCCCCATGATGGGAGCTCCCAGCCCCTCCACCTGGTGAGGACACAGTAAGAACTCTGCGAGCCAGGGAGGCCTCACCTGACGCTGGCTCTGCTGGGCCTTGACCCTGGACGTCCAGCCCCAAGGGGTAAACGTCAGAGCAGCCCCCTGTCTTCCCCTGGAGGGCGCTTCTCACCTCTGCAGCCTCAAGCGCTGCTGAAGTTCAGGTCCTGTTTCCAAAGGGGAAACGAAACTTCCGGCAAACCAGCAGTCAGGACGGGCTGCCCCTGTGGGCAGCGACCCAGCAAGCAGAGGATGGCTCCCGCCGGGCTGGTTGCCGCTGCCGCGAGGAGCCAGGGTCCCACCGCACCAGGAGCGCGGGGCTCCCCGACGAGGCTCATCCGGCTCCCCAGCCCTGACAAATACCCCGCTGCGGCCTCCACGGCCACACAGGTGCGGACAGCTCACCCCCGGGCCAGCCGATGCACGGCCTGAGGAGCAGGGCCATCTGGAGCGGGTGGGGTGCAGCGTGCAGGCGAAGACCCCCGGTCACAGCACGAGCAGCAGGAGCAGGGCCGGCCACGCACCTTCTCCACGTCTTGGGAGGCGGGTGCCGTGACCCCTGAAGGAACGGAGGAGTGGGGACCCGTCCTGTGGGGTAAACTAAGCCGTGGGAGGCAAGAGACGCTGAGCCTCCAGGGGGGTCTGGGCCCTTTCAGGGGAGAAGGGGCGGCATCTGGCTCCTACAAACATGGGCAGGTTGGAAGCCGGGTACCCTCGGGGAGCGCAAACGCACCTGCAAATCTGTGGGGGCCTGGGACCATCCCCGGACTCCTGGGGCATTCAGCCACCTGCTGGGCAGGGAGCCCCCGGGGTCTCAGCGCCCCCATACTTCGGGGCCCAAGCTGAGGAGGGACTCAGCTCCAGCAGCCGACCAGGGTGAGTAACCCAGCTCCGAAGCTCAGCAGATAATGGGCTGCTGGGAAAACGTAGGGTAAAAGAGGAGGGCAGACAAACTGCCTTCCCCTTGCCCCAGCCCTCTGACCCTCCCCCCTCACCTCCCTGCACCAGCCCTCTGACCCTCCCGCCTCCCTCCCTGGACCAGCTCTCTGACCCTCCTGCCCCACCTTCCTGCCCCAGCTCTCTGACCCTCCAGCTTCATCTCCCCGCCCCAGCCTTCTGGCTGCCCTGTGATTGCACCTGCTTGTGAATAAAGCATTGGCAAGCTTGGCCCAGACAGCCATCCCCAATCTAGCTACAGGGAGTGGGGTCCCATCTGGACTGACTTGGCACATAAAGAGGTGACCAGACAGAATGAGAAGAGGCCCGGCTGAATCAGGGAGCAGCTGGGTGCACCCTCAGAAGCAGCAAGACAGCAGGTCTGGAGAACTGTGATGTCCTGGAGGGTTTCGGAGATGGGAAATGTGCAGACCTTGTCCTGAGGCCAAAGAATTGTTCAGTGTAGCGGGACTCATCTGGGGGGTGACATCAGGCCTCCCGTGATGGGGGGGGTGTCCTGGTGCTCTTGAGGATGAGAGCCACACGGGGATGGTGAGAAGGCTTTCCTACAGCTGTCCTCTGCTTGTGCCCTCCATGTCCTCCACACCCCCACTTCCTGTCTTCCCATCCTGGGTGGGGACGCCCCCACCTCCTCCTGCCCCCCATCCTGGTCAGGACGCCCCACCTCCCCATCCTGGTCAGGGACCCCCACCTCCTCCTGTCTCCCCATCCTGGTCAGGGACCCCCACCTCCTCCTGTCTCCCCATCCTGGTCAGGGCGCCCCACCTTCTGTCTCCCCATCCTGGTCAGGGCGCCCCACCTTCTGTCTCCCCATCCTGGTCAGGACGCCCCACCTCCTATCTTCCCATCCTGTTCAGGGTGCCCCACCTCCTCCTGTCTCCGCCCGCTGGCCCCTTGTCAGGGGGCAGCTGGTGGGGATTGGCTGGATCAGACCCCCCCCCCCCAACGCTGACCTGCAGATGTTCCAGAGCCCCTGCAGGGACCCAGTTTTGACTTGATCCGCTTGGGCTGTTCCCGCACGGCCTCCTGTGTCTGCCCCTTTGGCTGAGAGCACAGTCTTTTCTGCAGTCTGAGCCTTCGGGGACGCATTTTTCTGAGATCACCGTTTCCTCTGCAGCCCTGCTTCAGACGGGGCCCTGCAAGAAGTCCCTGTTCCGGCAGAGAGACGAAATGTCCTAAGGGCCGGGCCCGGGCCCACTGCTGCCCCGTGAGCCCCCAGGCCATGAAACCAGCAGCCGCGCAGTGGAAGATGCACACCTGCCCCAAAAGCCGGGATGAGGCCTCCTCTCAGGGACCCTCTTCCTGGTTCCGTGAACCCCGGGCCTGCGGGGCTTGCTTCCGGGGGGGCTGGTTGGTGCTTCAGTGCAGCCCACATCAAGACGGAAGGCCTTTCCCTCGTCAGGAATGGGTGACTCGCTTCACTTTCTGGGGTATTTTTGACCAGCTGTAGAAAATGGGATTTTTGCAAATGGAGTCATCCTGTTTGATTTTCCAAATCACGTCCTTAAGCATCATCTGTCAATCCGTATTTTGTACATTCGATTTGGAAAGTGTGTCCCAGATCCAGAGGAAAGTGGGATCACTTCTAGCCAGTTTTCTCACCCGAAAACGGACATCATTTAAGCCCTAGAGAACTTGCAGTTTTTTGGCGACTTTTGGATCTTACGGGCACAAAAGCGCTTCCTAAAACTGGGTTTTTCTATGGGTAAGTGGCTTGGGAGTCGCTGACGTCACCACTGAGTAGAACCTTCTGTTACACGTTTGACCCTGCAGGTGTCCTGAGAGAGGCGGACGGTGTGCACGCTGCATGCATTGCACTCACGTCGCTGAAGAAGCCTGACTGTCGGAGGACACGAGCCAAAGACCCCGTGTTGGGACTGTTTCTAGGCAACTGCCCTTCCACACCCCGTGTGCGGGTTCTGATTCAGGGCACGGAGCACTTCTTGCTCTCCAGAACCCTTGTCTTTCACACCCCCCAGCAGCCCCGTGCACACACACGCACGCCCTGTGCACACTCCGGGGCTTGCACGCCCCCCTCCGTGCTGGCTGTGCTCGCCTGCCTGCAAGGGGCCGTTGGGGCAGTGTTTATTCGGGTGGGGGACGACGAGACGGCCGGCCAGAGCTGCCCCTCTGCTGGGGTCTGGCAGCGCTGTGTTCCTGCTGCCTTTCTCCAGAGCCTCGGAGAGGATTAACCCTTGGAAAGCAGGTTGGTGACTCTTCGGTGTCTGACAGCTCATGTTGGCTTGAAGGCACGTTTCTGCAGCCTCTTCGTGGCCTGAGAATACCACGTTGGTCCTTCCAGGTGGATCCAGGTGCGTCCCCGCCCTCCGGACCTGGGGCAGGTGACTCGTCCCCTTGTTCCTCCTCCGAGGGTGCCGAGCCCTGGGTCCCCAGCGAGAAGGTGCGGAGCCAGGGCAGGAAGCGGGGGGCCGTCATCTTTGGCACCTGTCACGTGAGGGCTGTGAGCTCTGCCGACCTCGCACGGTGACCGGACGTCCACGCGTGTGTCTCGGAGCTGTCCCGCTGCCCCAGCACGGCGTCTGCGCGCTCCGTGCCCATCTGAGTGGGACTCTGTTGGAGTGATGTCTCGCCGCGCCCCTGTGGGCAGAGCATGTGGACACAGCTCCGGGGTTTTATTAACGCCAACCGCCGTGGGAGGAAGACGGTCTAGATCCCGCTGTGTTCGGAGAGCTCAGGTGTCTGGCCAAAGGGGATGCGGCGAGGAGCAGCAGAAACTGGTGGCCGGTGACCCACAGACGGACTGGAGTCGGCCCACGTCCAGGACCAGAACTGCCCGGCACTGGGATGGCCGAGGCGGGGGAGGGGAGATTCAGGGAAGGAAGGGGAGGTGCAGACCCTTGGCTGGGGCTCCGCGCAGCCGGGATTGTGTAACCCGGGCTGCCTGGAGCCCGGCCAGGCCGCGGAGCAGACACGCAGAAGGGCTGGAGGCAAAACCACACAGAAACTGCCCACAGAAAT